CTCCAGCCAGCTGCTGGCCGCCCATGAGGACGATGATGGAGATGAGCTGCCAGCGCAGCGACCTGATCCTGAACAGCTTCACTATGGAGATGAAGCCTGCAGCCTTCTCGGCCTCGGCCTCCAGCTGGATCTCCTCCATTTCCTCTTCCACGTCGTCCCAGCCACGCACCCTCTTCAGGGCTGAGGGACCAGGGGGCGGTGTCTGAGGGGGCCCACGGCTTCCCCGGAGCAAAGACGCTGCAGCCCTGTCCTCCCCACCCCCAGCCCCCCACCTCCCCCAAGAGAGTCTCACCTTTCCTGGCCGCTTCATGGTTTTTCTTCTGAACCAGCAGGTACCTGGGGCTCTCCGGGAAGAAGGGCAGCAGCAGGAGCTGCACCGCCGCGGGGATCCCAGTCACCCCGAGGAGGATGGGCCAGCCTGCAAGGGGGATGGGCGCCACTCTCAGAGGCCCCAGCCAAGCACCCCCACAGCGCCCAGCCGGCCACTCTGCCCCATCACCCGGATGGGTTCTCCTGGGAGCGGCCTTCCCATCCCTGTGTCCCCAGCACCCAGGAGGGCGCTTAACGAACACCCTGAGGATGCGTACAAGAGGGGCGGTGATGACCCGCCAGTGCCCACCTCCAGGCGGACAAAGTGAAAAACCGACAACCCCAAGTGCTGGCGAGAATGTGGGCAACTGGGAAGTCTCCATGGTCGCCGTGTGGACACGTGGCGTCCTTGGAGGACAGGCCGGCGGAGCTGGGGGTGCTGGGCCCCTCAGCTCTGACCCCGCTGCCTGCTCAGGGGTTGGCCCGGCCACCCGGGCACGCAAACTAGAATGGGCAGAGCACCCCCGACTGTTGAATAAAACCCGGGAGCGATGCCAGCCCATGTGGTAGAATGGGAACACAAATCATGGTGAGTTCACAACATGGATTCTACGCTGCACTGGCAAGGAAGCCAGACTCACAGGCGCCGTCTCACCAATGCCAGGCCGGGCGCCATCGCCTACCTGGTGGGCCCTGCCGCCGAGAGTCAGAAATGGAACATTAACTCTGTCTTGGCCCTGGAATGGACAGCCCCATCGGGCCAGGAGGAAGCCAGGCGGCTTCGTGCTCCCTCAAAGCCGCCTCACCCCGGTCCTAAGAGGGGCTAGAGCCGTGATCGGCAAACTGCAGCTTGCGAGCCACATGCGGCTCTTTGGCCCCTTGAGTGTAGCTCTTCCTAAGCCTTAGGAGTACCCTAATTAAGTTAATAACAATGTACCTACCTATATAGTTTAAGTTAAAAAAATTTGGCTCTCAAAAGAAATTTCAATCGTTGTACTGTTGATATTGGCTCTGTTGACTAATGAGTTTGCTGACCACTGGGCTAGAGCATGTCAGCCAGTCTGTCACCAGCACCTCGTGGGGCCAGGGCAGCGTGGGGGCTGGAGGGACAGCCAGCTGAGCAGAGAGAAAAGCCCAGCTCACAGAATGCCCGTCCACCGAGCAGAGGCAGGGCTGTGGCCCGGAGACGGCTGCTCTTACCTTCCTCATTTGCAAGGAGATTCCGAAGGCCCAGGATCTGGGCCACGAGGATGCCCACGGTGATGAAGAGCTGGGGCACCACCCCCAGGGCTCCCCTCAAGTTCTTGGGGGCCAGCTCCCCCAGGTACATAGGGACGACGTTGGAAGACAGACCTGGAGGAGGGTGAAACGACAGGATCAGGAAGCACTGGTGTGGCGGGGACGGGCCGCGGCCTCCACACGCTTGTTCTCACTCAGCAGTCACGTAATTGGGCTGAAACTTTCAGAAAACTGCCCAAGGAAGCAAACACCCCTTTTCATTCTTGGTCCTCTGAACTTGGAGGAAGGAGAAAGTAGTCTGACCAGAGAGGCTCATGGACCGGGGCCTCACTTTCTTGACTGGTGTCACCTGCGGGCACAAGCCAGCCTGGCTTCAGGTCTCCCCCTAACTGGCTTGGTCTCGGAGAAGAAAAGCCCGAGTCTCCCCTGTGCTCAGTTAACTTCAGGTAAGGGGTTTGCTGACATCGGCCCAATTGTCTGTCCCTGTCCCCGTGTTTGGAAGGAGAAACAGAGTTACTTGGCAAGTGGAGCAGGTAAGTGAGGTGCCCGGGGCGGGGGGGAGGGGTAAGGGCGTTCACCCTCGGGTGCCCACCTGCAGGTGCCTGGCCCAGCAGTGGTGCCTCCTGACTCCACCCCTCACTCACCTGGAGCGGCCTGGCGGACACTGCCTACGGGAGAGCATGGGCTCCAGGGGGACCAGCACAGGCTCTCCCCACCCCTCTTCCATCGGAAGCCGCTGTAGGGGGTTTCCCATCACCACCAGCAGGACAGCCTGGTGGCCCAGCTCTGCAGGGTTTGCAGAGCAGCTCCAGGGCTCCCAAGGGGAGAGGCCGCAGGCAGGCCCTTCCCCTGCCCAGCAGGTGGGCATGGAGGGAGGGAGTGAAATGGAAGCCACGATGAGCCCTTTGCAAACTCTCAATTCTTTATAAAAGTGGAGAGGTTGCTGCCATTAACTCCTTCCGTTAGAGCAGTGGTTCTCAACCTTCCTAATGCCGCGACCCTTTAATACAGTTCCTCATGTTGTGGTGACCCCCAACCATAAAATTATTTTCGTTGCTACTTCCTAACTGTAATTTTGCTACTGTTATGAATTGTTATGTAAATATCTGATATGCAGGATGTATTTTCATTGTTACAAATTGAACATAATTAAAGCATAGTGATTAATCACAAAAACAATATGTAATTATATATGTGTTTTCCGATGGTCTTAGGCGACCCCTGTGAAAGGGTCGTTTAACCCCCAAAGGGGTCGCGACCCACAGGTTGAGAACCGCTGCGTTAGAGGGACCCATGCATTTGGTTGTTCCTCAAGCTTTTTTGGCCACAACCCACAGTAAAAGCTACAGAAATACATTTTACATTGCAACCCGGGTCTCATTCGTACTCAGATAGATAATTGGAACCGAAGTTTCAAAAGATAGTGACACAGTGGACTCTGTTCAAAAAACAAAACATTGCTCACTGCCTGAGCCGGTGTGGCTCAGTAGATAGAGCGTCGACCCTCAGACTGAAGGGTCCCCGGTTCGATTGCGGTCAAGGGTACACACCGGGGTTGTGTGGAAGGCAACCAATCAGTGTCTCTCTCACACTGATGTTTTGCTCTCTCTCTCCCCCTCCCACTCTCTCTAAAAGTCAATGGAAAAATATCCTTGGGTGAGGATTAATCACACACACGCACACCCACAGACACACACACACACACACACACACACACACTAAAAGTCAATGGAAAAATATCCTTGGGTGAGGATTAATCACACACACGCACACACACAGACACACACACACACACACACAGAAACATTGCTCTCTAAACAGATGTCACCACCCTCTCGCTGGTCCCGAACACACTGAGATAAAGGATTGGGGTGGAAGGACCCTCCGGAACATAAGATTCTGTGTCTCAGTCTTTCAAAGAACAGCTTGCTTCACAGGAAACATCAGGGGAGATCCGCCTACTGTCCGCACTGGAGCCTGGCTCACGACAGCACAGAGGGACAGCGTGGTCTGGCCTCAGAGGCCCCAGGTTGGCCCCTGTCCTCCCTCCTGGTGACGGCTGTCAATCACAGCTCAGCAGTGCAGTGCCGCCTGGCTTACCTGCACAGATGCCCACCAGCAGCCTGGAGAGAATGATTATCTCAAATGAGTGGATAGCTTCGCTGGAACCCATCAAGATGGCAGGCACGATGGAGAAGACGTTGTTCAGCAGCAAGGTCCCTTTCCTGCAGAGGATAGCACGTCAGCCAGGCCGGCCCTGGCCAGGCAGCTCCGGGGGTTAGAGCATCGTCCTGATACACCAAGGTTGTGGGCCCCATCTCCAGTCAAGGCACATGCAAGAAGCAACCAATGAATGCATCAATAAGTGGAACAACAAATCAATGTTTTTCTCTCTCACTCTCTCCCCCCCACCTTCCTCTTTCTAAAATCAATACATTAAAAACAAAACAAAAGTAAAAACCAATTTGGTCTAAGGTTCACCAAGTGTGTGCCTGGTGACAGCAGGATCCAGGATCCAGGAATACAGTACAAGGTTTTGCAATCATGGGCTGACATGATTTGGGTATAATCTGAAAACTCAACTGGGTAAGAACATTAGAAGAGAAGTATGAGCCAACCTCACTTATCAACATAGATGCCAAAGGCCTCAGATAGAATTTTTGGCATATATAAATACCATATGAAAGATTATACTGGAGCCCTAGCTGATTTGGCTCAGTGGGTAGAGTGCTGGCCAGCAGACTTAAGGGACCCGGGTTCAATTCTGGTCAAGGGCACATGCCTGGGTTGCAGGCTCAATCCCCAGTAGGGGGCGTGCAGGAGGCAGCCGATGAATGTTTCTTATCATTGGTGTTTCTCTCCTTCTCCCTTCCTCTCTGAAATCAATAAAAAATATATTTTTAAAAAAGATTATACTGGGGAAAATATAAGATTATCAATTGAAGCTGCAAAAGAAGTCCATAAAATTTGATATTATGATTTAAAAAAACAGCCTTAAACTATAAATAGAACTTCTGTAAGCTGATAAAGGTGAAGTCTCCTAAAAACCTATGACAAACATGAAAGCAATGCCAAGGAGAATTTTTTTCAGGGATTTTGATAAAATGACTTCAAAATTAACACAGAAGAGTAAAGGGGCATGAATAAGAAATTTAATAATGGACCTTTCACATGGAAAAAATTAGGGTTTTTTTAGTTCTTTCCTATCAGTAGTCACTGTATTTTTATTTTTTATTGAATTTATTGGGGTGACACTGGTAACAAAATTATACAGATTTTAGGTGCAAAAAAATTAGCTGTCTCTCACCACTCACCATATACAAAACAAAATTCCAAGTCTATCTGGGAAAAACAAAACTGTTGAATTATGTTTTAAATTACAGATTACTATCCTTATGTCTCCAGGAAGGAAAAAGGCTGTCTTAAGCCCTGACTGGTTTGGCTCAGTGGATAGAGCGTCGGCCTGCGGACTGAAGGGTCCCTGGTTTGATTCCAGTCAAGGGCATGTACCTTGGTTGCAGGCACATCCCCAGTAGGGGGTGTGCAGAAGGCAGCTGATCGATGTTTCTCTCTCATTGATGTTTCTAGCTCTCTATCCTTCTCCCTTCCTCTCTGTAAAAAATCAATTATATATATATATATTTTAAAAGGCTGTCTTAAGACACAAAAAACAAAAGCTGTAAATTAAAGTTGACCACTTGAACAAGGAAAATTTTTATGTTAAAAAATACTACTGTATGTATGATTAAAAAATAAAACAACGGATTGAGAAGCTGTTTGCCTGATACAACAGAGGACAGTGTGGTGGTGCCTTGCACCAGCTCAGAAGTGAAACTGCCCCCAGCTGTGTCATCTTGGGTTGCTGCAGCATCTCTCTGCGCCCCGTTTTCCCGTCTTTGAAAAGGGGATGGCTTTTGGAAGGATTAGAGGAATGAATAACCCTAAAAGCACTCAAGATAAAGCCTGGCACAGAAAATGCTAGTTGCTGCTGTTATTTAAGGAACACCTGTGAATCGTTAAGAAAACCATACACAGTGAAATAGCACTCATCACATTCCCAAGCGGACAGCTGACCCAGCCGCGTTCAGCTCCATTGTGGACGGAACCGCAAGTCCCTCAAGGAGGAGGGTCCTACAGATCCCACTGTGACTTGACCGGGGTCCTGCTCCCCGAGGCCCACAGGGAACACTGTGAGTTCAATGCCAAGCTCCCAGGAAGACCGGAGGACCTGAGGTACCAGAGCAGAGGCTGTATGTTCCTATTCGCAGG